CGTAGTTCGAATAGCGCTGCATGAATAGACGTCTCAGCATGTCCTTCTGCTCTCCAAACTCAACCATCAGGTTCTGGATTCCTATACTCTGACACCGCCTGTACCAGCCGTCAAACTGATCACCATCGTATATCATTCGCAGAACGCACATGACATCACTGCCCAGCTTCGCAACGGACACAGTGTTATCCCAGCAGATACAGGTAACCTCTGACATGAGACATCCGGTACACCAGTTCCTCTTGGCGAGAAAGATGTTCGAGTTGAAGTATCTGTAGTCTGTTCCATACATGGCGTAGAGAAGGGGCCTGGGGATGTCTAGAAATGCAAATATATCGGATACATTCTGGTATAGTTGTTTGACGCGGATCTTTAGGGGAGAGTCAGTTTGTTGTCTTTTAGATAGAGGGGGGAGTGAAGGGGAGTCTGGAGTACTCGCGAAGGGGGCAGGCGAGAGAATACTTTCGCTGGTCGAGATGGGATCGGTAGAGGCGGAAGGACTAGCAGAGGAGAGAGTTTCTTGATATACAAGAGAAGAAATGTTCTCACGAGCATTATCCGCTGTACCTGTTGTCGGATCTTCACAACTCATTATTTGACTTGTGTTGTCGTGTATATCTCTTAGCGGTCTATTTTCAGGCTGTACATCAGCAATGCCAAGACCATCTGAAGTTTCGTCATCATCAAGACCCAGTTCACCTCTAGTTTCTTCATCACCAAGACCCATTACACCTGTAGTTTCGTCATCATCAAGACCCGGCTCACCTTCGATCTCCTCACCTGGGGTCTCCCCACCTGCGGTCTCCCCACCTGCGGTCTCCTCACCAGCTTCCTCCTCTAACCCGTAGAATTCGCGTATCGCCTTGGCGTAGTTCCGCACACGCATGGAATCTTTGTGTAACGACCGTTTGTTCCAGAGTGTCACGCACCTCCCCGCCTTTCTCAAACGTCCTGCTATCTGGATGTATGTCGACACTGGCGGCACGTACCCCACAAGAAGCACCAGTCGCACCTCGGCTATGTCAATGCCCTCGCAAACCAGCTTTGTTCCCACTAGCGCCTTGGTGTCCTGGTTTTTGAAGTTCTGTATCCTCTTCACCTTTTCCTTAGCTTCGAGATCGCCATGGACCCAGATGCAATCGATATCCAGATTCAGAGCAAACTCCTCCACTCTAGCTTTCTCCCCCAATACAACAATCACCTTTCCGTCTTGCTGTTCGTTTATGTATTGCAATGCAATAGTATCAAGCTGCCCCTGCTTGACTTTCTCAAAAGTCTTTTCCACATGTTTCAATGGCATCTCCGTTATCATGTCCCATATCTCGACTTCTTCAAGATTCAAAAAGTCCAATGGTCTCTTTAGCCCTTCTTTTCCGGCTGTGGCTGTTAGTAGCACCACCTTCCAGAAGTTTGCCAAAGGAACAGCTGGAATGCCTCTGAAACCGGATGCTATAAAATCTCTTTCGTCGTACATGTTATGATAGGAAGCAGTAGCGTATTTGATAAATGTATTTCAGTTCCAAGTAACAGCTGTTCTTGGCTGAGATCCAAATTCTTCCGTAATAACTTTGCCGGCTGGGGGAACGTCCTTTGTACTAACATATAGCTTGATGTCCTTCAACATCACCGCTACCCTTAAGCGTCGTCCAGTTCGCCGAAGCTGTCTCGAAAGAACCACAAAAACACCTAACACCGCCTTGAACAAGGACTAACTAGATATAACTAAGCGTTCTGTTACAGAATCAATTAGCTGTAATAAAATTCACATCTTTGGCCATACAATTTATCGTACCAACCTGTAAAGGCAAATCGCTCATTTCTTCTAAATAAAACCTAATGACACGCAAATGGATATAAGCATAAAATCAAAATTATCTTCAAGTAGAAATAAAGTAGCAGAAACTGCTTTTCGGTTTGCTATTGGAGTAGTGCCATTCAACCAAGTTCAGGGAGACTCTTTCTTATCATGTGACTTATCTCTATACACTGTACATATCCTCGCATATTGGTGCATGATTATATGTTCAAGTATGCAGAAATATGCACTGTACCATATGGTCATGTGATGTCCTTTATCTACTCACTCAAGACTCGTGCGTATTGAATGACTGGACACTCTTAAAAGTACTCGAGATTAATTCTCTGAAAATCATAAATAGGAGAAGCCAAGTAATTCGAATATGGACCAGGATTTCTATCAAAGATCCAAGAATTAGAGTCTTCATCTGATTGCAGAGTATACTGCTCTCTGATATGTTCAGCTAGGAACCATGCAAACCGCTCCTTCATTGGCAAATGATAAGCCACTCGCCATCGACAAGCCAATCTTATTAAAAGTTACATCTGTAAAGGTTTACAAGCATTAGAGCTTCCGATGGCAAAAAAACACTCCCAGATATAAATTCATGCCTGAAAAGTCTTGAACTATAGCTTAAAAAGGTTGACCGTTGGTGTATCCCAGTGCCACGAGCGACGATGTATGCAAGCGGGCAATTTCTAGATTCGATCCGCCTATTATCGGCGCAGTTCACCTACCTAGTTGCAGACCCAGATGTATTTCTGGGTGAGAAATGCTGAGCTGAAAATGTGAGAAAGGATATATGGACTCATGCATTGCCATTTCAAGCCTGCTCTCGACTGCTGTCGCTGATTAAGAAAAGCTTGCGCGCGGTAACTTTTAATACCACTTGCTATCATGACTTGCTTAATAGTTTGTTTAAGCTAATACACTGGAGTCGCAGTCTATCACTAATATTTTACTATGCTTGTCACAGTGTGTTAAGCGTCCAGCTACAGGGGCGTAACGGTTTTCGCCAATTCCTTGAAAGTCTTAAGGGTATCAACAAAGCCACCCACCCAAGGCTGCTGCGACGGAGAAGCGCGGACCTACCAGCCTCCCAACATGGCCATCTTCAATGTGGGTAGCTCTGCCCGCTTTAGCTCCGCTCCCGGTGCTATTATCTCCGACTCACCCGGAGATATTCTACAATATGGAGATCCTATATCCGAGATTTTTCGACTAAGGCCAAATTTGACAAGATGAGATGGAGAAAACCGCCGAGAAGTACAGCACACGAGAGTCAATCTAGAAATTATAAATTGATGATAATTCCCTGCTCCGGAGAGGGAAAGCCAGACATTTACCACTCTCTCACAAGTTTAAGCACCTCGAACGCTTCGCTCGACCATACTAGCAGCGATTAATAAATTCTCAACAATCAACCCAATCATAATGCCCAAGTACGCCAAAAATCAGGGCGCCGGCTTCACAAACGCGATCGAAAGAGTCGCCATTGTTGGTGTAAGTAAATTCCTCTCAACAACAGCTCAACAGCACCACACATACAACAAACTAACAAACAGACTTAGGCTGGAGGTACCGTTGGATCACATATTGCCAAGGCCCTGCTAGAAACCGGAAGACATACAGTCACGGCCCTTTCCCGCAAAGACAGCGGCAACAGACTTCCCGAGGGCGTCCTAGTTACCTCAATAGACTACAATGATGAGGCCACCATTGTTGCCGCCCTTAAAGGCCAGCAATTTTTGATCATAACGATGGCCCCTACCGCGCCCCGGGACACTCACAGCAAGATTGTCCAGGCGGCCGCCAAGGCCGGTATTCCCTACGTCATGCCTAATGGGTATGGCGGCGACATTGACAACATTAAACTCGGCGAAGACACAATGCTGGGGCCCATAGCGAAGGCCAACAGGGACGAGATTGAGAGTCTCGGCATGCAGTGGATCACAATGTGCTGTGGTTTCTGGTACGATTACAGCTTAGCGGGCGGGGATGCGCGCTTTGGGTTCGACTTTGACAAGCGTTCCCTAACAATTTATGACGATGGCAACACCAAGAATTCGACGTCGACTTTATCGCAGGTTGGGCGCACCGTGGCCAAGGTCCTGAGCCTCAATGAACTCCCCGAGAACGAAAACGATGAGAGCCTTACTTTGTCGACGTTCCTCAACAAGGGAGTGTACATTAAGAGCCATGTAGTCAGCCAAAACGACATGTTTGAGAGCGTCAAGCGTGTCACCGGCACTACCAATGCAGCCTGGACGGTTACCTACATAGATAGCAAGAAGCGATACGAGGATGGCCTAGCGCAAGTAAAAGTGGGAAACATGGCCGGTTTTGGCAAGATGCTATACGCAAGGGCGTTTTACCCAGGTGATTGTTATGACCACTCGGCCAAAGTGCAGAATGCGCTGCTTGAATTGCCGGATGAGATCCTGGATGAGTCTACCAAGGCAGGGTTAGATTTGGTCAAGGAGCTGCAGCTTCGTGTAGAGCGTATGGCGGCTTAAAGGCTCTGAAAGCCTCTACTTTGAGCAAAGATTCAGGGTATTCTTTGCCACATCAAGCTTGTTAGGTCGGCAGCCTTCAAATTTACCAAATCGGGATCCGCCGGTGCTGGCCCCACAATCTCTTTGGAATGTTTATGAATAATCAATATACATAGTTGCGGTTTCTAAGGGCTCTGCCTAGCGGCTTAAAGCAGGGAAGCCGCACAATTTATAACACTAAATTCCAACCTCTGTCACTCTGAAAAATTCGGGAACGCAGGAGAATGTTGATGCCATTGAGTTGTGGAAGTGTAAATTGAATAAAACTTCAACGCCTGCGTGGGAACCAAAGGACAACGGTCTCTATGAACTAGTAAGACTGTGAGCCCTGTGGCTACAATACTGCTAGCGGGTTATTGGCCGACCTGGACATGACAGGTTGCGTAAGCCATGAAGCAATCATACCATTTTCATGACATTGTGGCAGTGATTTTGACGGATAGTTACTTGAACGAAACTTGTGGCCAGGAGCCCATGAAATGGTCTCCGCAAGAGTCAAAGAGTAACCCTCGGTTATTTTGCCATTCAGTTTTGACTTCTAGACGATTAAAAAGTTTTGATGTTTCTTGATAGGAATATTAAATTTACAAACAATTTATTTAAGCATGCTCTTACTACACCCATTCAGAGCAGAACCACCTAAGCCTTTTCTAGCCAAAAAGAGTTTTCGAAAGTTGACGAATAGACTTTGGCACCCTTTGCTGTTTCAATTCCTCAGAATCGACTGAGTCTTCATCTAAATTTGGCCGCTGACCCTCCAGCAAATCAATTTTCATAAGATTGACCGGTCTCAGGGTGCCCGATTTCACTAAGGCAATA